TTTGCCAGGCCCTTGCAGTGTTATGATTGCGGCAAGGCGGCTACAGGTCATGCACACACTTTTTGAACAATGCCAAGTCCGTCCACACGCTCATTCTGTTCACTTGTTCCTTCTGCTACGAGGGCCATTTCTGGTTGTCTGGCAGTGCACCTGCTCTCAACTAGGGTGACGCCGAACTTGCAAGACGAGAGATGTGCCATGACTTTGCAGATCCAACCACGCGTATGATATGCTTCAAGTGGCGAGGCTTACCTACCTCGCCCTCATTAAGAGACGGAGAATTCCTGAAGAAGCTTGAATTGTAAATCTGTGGAGGTGACCATTGATGACGATGTGCGTTGGCTGGCGGGGCATCCCCTGGCTGCACCCCCTTTTCACAGCATGCGCAGGGCGGGATCTGCAAACAGCCGACCGGAGATTTCAATCAAGTTGGCAGAGGGGTGGGGGACCAGTCTCCAGCCGGGATCGACAGCATAAAGTGATGGCGTGGAGGCTGGGCCGGTGATTACACGTATCGACTGCAGCCGGCTGTGTGTGTGATGGTGTATGTGCTGGCGGTTCGAAAAACGAATCAAAGCATGGCAGCTTCATGAGAGAAAGCAAGGTCGGAGTGAGGAGGTTGGACGAATTGATAGATGCAACACTGGAAGATGCAGGGTGAAGACAGGTTGCAACGAAGGCTGGGGGGAAGGCTTCGTGCTGATCGAGGAACAAGGGCAGCTGACAGTAGCACCAGCTGCGCTCTGTGAGACGCTGCAAGGCCCCTAGATCCGTCGGGGTTGTTCCGGACGGTAATTAATTAGGCCGCCTCCAGTCTTGGGTAATGCCTCCAGTGCGGTCCCCTCGGGGGCACAGGAGGCTGGAATTTCAGGGGCCTTCTCACTGGAATGTCCTTGAAACCGACAACACAAAACAGAACCCCTCGACCGTACCAGGCGTACCACCACACCAACATCGCCCCCCAGGCACCTCTACTTGCACTGCCCAGCACCGCAGGGATTGATTGACTCCTTCTATTGTTTGGGAGTGGCTTCTTCTTGTCTCAGATTAGCATCCTTCCCATCTTCTTGGCCATGTGCCCGTCACCCGACCGAAGCAAACAAACAGAGCCTCCCCCCAGGACAGAAGACTGAGAGAGGCTGGTGATGCGCTGGCCGTCGTATCGATGTAGCATCGAAGGCCTTGACTGCCTCACCAGGTATCATGCATGAACAACGACAACATTGGTCCGGCCTCTGATCTGACAGCCACGGACAGCGCAGCCATGACGACGACACCTAAGCTGCACGTCACGCTACTCTATCTCACCTCTCCCCCTCTGCCGTCGAATCGTGGGGCGGCGGGCCCTTCCCTGCGTGCCCCTCGCATCCCGAGAGACATCATGATTGGGGATCTGCCGCTGCAATGCCTCGTCGGGCCAGAGCACGGTGGATCGGGCGACCCAAGCACAGGATCCGATTCCCTGACTGACGTCGCTCGACACCTCGTCCAACGCTAATTGCTGATGGGAAACCCTTTTATTGGGGAGGATCAATGGAGGTCTCGTCGCGGAACCGGTCCAGGGGGTCGGTCAATGGCTTGTGGACCGTCATGCTGCTCTCTCGGACTGCGCATTTATTATAACCCTGGGTCCCTCCCGCCGCCATGTCTTGGGATTCGTCGGGTTCAATTATCGACGTCGAGGCCTGTCTGCTGTTTCTCTCCAGATTCTCTGATTTCCATACGAAGCTCGGCAAGGCGTCATTGAGGCATCATCAAGACCATCTGACCATCCTGTCATCAGTCGAACGCAAAGCCTCGTCGTGAAGCAACATCTTTCCATCTTTCAAGATGCCATCTACGCTCCGTCTTTTGCAATGCGTCTGCCTTCTGTGGGCTACCACATGTACGCTTCATTCTCTTGCCTCCGTACAAATCATCACTAACATATCCTTCAGCTGATGCAGCTCCGACGCCAGCCCCCATCCACGAGCCTCGCTTCAGCGCCCTCGTCGCTGGCAACGTCTCCCTCCGCATCATGCCCCTCGGCGCCTCCATCACCTACGGCGAGGGCTCCTCCACCGGCAACGGTTACCGCCAGTACCTCAAGGACCTCCTCAACGCCGACGGCAACCCCGTCGACTACGTCGGCTCCCGCCAGGGCGGCGACATGGCGGACAACAACGTCGAGGGCTGGCCCGGCTACCGCATCGCCCAGGTCACGGAGAAGGCCAAGGAGTCCCTGCCCGACACGCTGCCGAACCTCGTGCTCATCAACGCCGGCACGAACGACTGCATCCAGAACAGCGAGCCCGAGACGGCCGGCGACAGGATGCTCGAGATGCTGCGCGCCGTCTGGGCCGCCTCGCCGCGCGTCAGCATTGTGCTGAGCACGCTGCTCGTCAACAAGGTCGCGTCCGTCGACGAGTGCGTCCGCGGCGTCAACGAGCAGTTCCGCGCCCTCGTCGAGGCCCAGCAGGCCATCTCGAAAAAGGTCGTCCTCGTCGATTTCCACTCACCCGAGGGCCCCACCGTCGATGACCTCGTCGACGACATCCACCCCGGCGACGCCGGCTTTGAGAAGATGGCTGCCATTTGGTTCGAGGGCATCAAGGACGCCGCGTCCCGGGGCTGGGTCGAGGAGCCCCAGGTCCTGCCGGGGAACGAGACGAAGCGCAGCACCCTCGAGGCGATGGTTGCTGCCGGCCTGCGCTCGGCGACGACGGGTGCAAGGGAGCACGCCAAGGCCGTGCTCTGAAAGGGTGTAGCGTTGCTGTAACACGGCGGGGAGCAATCATTGACATTTCTATGGCGTTCAGGATAAGCTGGGTGAACGTTTACAAAGCAGCGCGCCAGAGTGCCGCGTGGAAGGTATCGAGGTGGTGGTCACCCCTTGATCGTCTGTAATGTGTAAACACGTAGAGTAGACAGCCGGATATAAGATCCGAGATTATGTGCGCATAACGCCTTTGGTGATTGTACTGGCTGACAGCGCATGCCTGTGCAGCCATCAGTCCTGTGAGGAAAGTAAACGCGGCTTTCAATAAGTAATCCCTGCTTGGCTCCGAGTAGGATCGATCCTTCGCGTTCCATAGTTTACCCACTTAATCAGCACCGACACTTACGTAGTGTTCCTCATTTTACTTCCTGTCTTGGACTGTTGACATGTAACTGCGCGGTTGCTGATCATGACAGGGGCACAGCTGAACGGCATGTGCAGAGGACAGACGGACAATATATTTGTGGTTGAGCCCGTTCAAGTACACGTTGCGGTTGCAAGAGCAGATCAGTCTTGAAGGCGGCTGGTTCTCATGTTTTTCTTCTCGAAATTTTACAGGAATTACAAACATCAACATCGTCGTTCCTGGACAATCCCAATACATTAGTCGACTTTCCCAGTTCGGGGTCGGGGTGTAGTGTGGTGCCAACTGGTCGTCTCACCTCGGTCGGCTGCCTAGCGCCCCTCACCGAGAACTTCTCCTCGGTGAACAGGCCTGTCAACGAATCCCCAAGACTGATTCGCGACGCCCCAACCTTGCGCTTGACGCCCTTCGACATCCCACATTTCAACCACAAGCATCTGCACGAACTCGTCCCCGACAACCCAAACGAACCGAATACCCACTCTCCATCACCCGACACCAGAAGCAGACCTCGCACGATGGACTACCAGAACCGCGCCGGCTCCAAGTTCGGCGGCGGCGGCGTCGCCTCGCAGTCGGCCTCGAACGCCGACCGCCGCGAGCGCCTGAAGAAGCTCGCGCTCGAGACGATCAACCTCGACAAGGACCCGTACTTCTTCAAGAACCACGTCGGGTCCTTCGAGTGCCGGCTCTGCCTGACGGTGCACCAGAACGACGGCTCCTACCTCGCGCACACGCAGGGCAAAAAGCACCAGACGAACCTCGCGCGGCGCGCGGCGCGCGAGCAGAAGGAGGGCAAGGGCGCCATCGACCCGGCGACGGGCCTGCCGGCGGGCGTCTCGGGCGCCGGCTTCTCCGTCGGCCCGCGGCGGAACCTCGTCAAGATTGGCCGCCCCGGCTACAAGATCACCAAGATCCGCGACCCCATGACCCGCCAGCAGGGCCTGCTGTTCCAGCTGCAGTACCCGGACATTGCGCCCGACGTCGAGCCCCGCTGGCAGGTCATGAACGCCTTCACCCAGCGCGTCGAGGACCCGGACCGCAACTTTCAGTACCTCCTCGTCGCCGCCGAGCCGTACGAGACGTGCGGCTTCAAGATTCCCGCGCGCGAGCTCGACAAGCGCGATGACAAGCAGTTCTCCTACTGGGATCCGGACTCCAAGGAGTACTGGGTTCAGGTCATGTTCATGTCCGAGCGCGAGGAGCGCTATGTTGCCGCGCCGGGTCTGAGTACAAGGAGGTGAAGCAGGGGAGAAGAGACAGAGAGAGAGGGAGGGAAGAAAGAAAGAGGAAGAAGGGCTTGTATTGTTGTACATGATAAAATGGGCATCCCTACAGATGCTAGGGTACGGACAGCTCAGGCGATCCTCGTCGGGTCAAGCCAAGGGCACCGCGGAGTTTGGGTGTACTGAAAGGAACTAGATTGTGGGCTTTACTTTCAAGAGCGACTGGCAATCAACTGGCAATGACAAACTTCGTATTGACAGCGTGAGCATGACGCTTGACGCTTTGGCTGGCTGGTTGTCGCACACCTTTTGCATTGTAGTCTACTCTGCCCTCTTCAAGTGGCACTTGGCCAGCCTCCTTCTCTCCCTTGAATTCGTTCTACGGTCATGTTACCATCTAGAACCTCAACAGCATCTTTGACTCTCCTCTCCGTCGGGGCGTCGCAGCACCCGCCTCATGCATCTCATCCTGTCGCATACATGCTCATCTAATACTCCTTCCACTCCTGAACCCTCCATGGCCCGTTCCAACACTGGCCAGACAGACACAGATGCAACACTGACAAGCTTCCTTTCGTCATCTCTACGCAATGCAATCAGGGAAAGAGCAGGACCACAAACACACGGCTGGGCAGGCGCAGGTTCAGCGAGCCTAGCGGAAGTTGTTGTCGAATCGCTTGAAGGTGTAACCGATGAAGGGCAGGCTCATTTCAGGGGTCTCCTCCACGGGGCCAGGCTGGCCAGCGGCGCGCTGCTGCACGGCCTGCGCCTTGAGCACGGTGGCGTTGTCGGTCTGGTCGATCTCGTCCGTCGGGAAGTACGTCGTATCGATGGCCGAGGTGAGCCTGGGCTCGAACGGTGCCCTGATGCGACGCAGGCTGTCGAACTCGACGCCGCGGAAGAAGCTGTGGGCCTTGATCTCGTGGGCGCCACCTCGGCCCAAACGGTTCTCCGTGTTGCAGATCAGGCTACGTTGGTCAGCATGGGCAATCCATGGCAGGCCGAAAGATAACTTACCTCCTTATCAGGTTCTCAGCCTCGGTGCCCAAGGTGATGTCGTCGGGGAAGTACAGCGTCTGACGCCAGTTCACGATCTTCCGATAGGTATCGTGGCTGTCCTCGGCGCAGAAAGGTGGCCAACCGACCAAGCACTCGAACATGATGGTACCAAGCGACCACCAATCGCAGTCGTAGGTGTAACCGTGCCCAGTGAAGATTTCCGGCGCGATATAGTCGGGCGTACCAACGGTGGAGTAGGCCATGAGACGTCGCGACCTTCGCCAATCATTGATCTGCGAACGGTTGCTGACCGTCAGGTTGATCTGATCGAGAGCCACCGAGTTGCGGTCGCGGGGCCGGTTGGAGCGGCCCTGCATCAGCTGAGCGTAGTAGTTGTTGTCGTGCAAGCGTTGGAAGCCGGTGGAGAGACCGAAATCGGTCAATTTGACGTGGCCGCCTCGATCGAGCAGAATGTTGTCGGGTTTGATATCACTGAGAAGTCACAAGGTTAGCGAAGGGTCGCACAATGGAGAGGTCACCCTACTGACCGATGGATGAAGCCCAGCTTATGGACGGCCTCGATCGCGAGCACAATCTCGGCAATGTAGAAACGTGTAATGTCCTCCGAAAAGATCTCATACTTGATAAGCATGGTCATCAGATCGCCGCCGGGCAAGAATTCCATCAACATGTAGAGGAAGTACGAATCTTGGAAGGTGGTGAAGAGCTTGACGACCCAGGGGCTGTCCGACTCGGCAAGAATGTCACGCTCGGAGCGCACGTGAGCCAGCTGGTCCTTTTTGAACATCTCTGTCTTGATGAGAGACTTCATGGCGTAGACCTTGCCATCTTGCTTCTTCTGAACCAGCTTGACCTCGCCGAAAGCGCCCTTGCCGATAATCTTCACCGTGGCGTAGTTCTCGGGACGATCTTTTGTGCGCAGGAAGCGGAGGTACTGGCCCTCCTTACGGCCACCGGTCGACCAAATCTGCTCACGCCTCGATGCGGGTTGGTTGGGCTCCGCAAGCTTCTGCTCCATCTCGCTTTGCCTGCAAGGAACATGTCAGCGGCGTTGGCCTACATGGTTGAGGATCCCTCATGTGAGTCTCGACGTACCTCTGGTTCCTCTCACGTGCGCGTCGCACACTGTCTTTGAAGAAATCGGCAGCAAGCTTGGAGCACTTGACCTGGTTGTTGTTGGCGTTCGAGCCGTACTTGTCAGGGTTGCGCTCAGGAGCACGGGCAAATTCATCGACAGGCGCGGGGCTCTGCGTCGGCATGGGGGCAGCGGGGTAGCTGCCGTAGCCTGAAGGCTGGCCGGAGGCGCCAGCAGTACGGGGCCTCTGGGCCGGAGAAGCGCCCCGGGCGCCATAGCCGGGAGCAGCCCTCGCGGCACCTCCTAGGTTCTGGTGGGAAAACTGGTGAGCAAGGCCAGTGTTGGGGTCGTTGGTGCCTGGGGTGTTGGAACGCTGTTGGTAGACATTTTGAGGAGCAAAGTCGGTGGCCTGAGGCTGGGCGGGGTACTGCGGAGGGTACTGGTTAGGCACGAAGTAGCCTGGAGGGGCATAACCAGTGCTGTAGTGCTGCTGCTGCTGTTGCTGCTGCTGCTGCTGCTGCGGGGGGTGGAGGTTGCTGGATTGCTGCTGCTGGCCCGAGGACTGCGGGAAGACGGGCTGCGGAAACGTCGAGGGCGTGGTGGGATAGTTGGAGCGATCGCCGGAGGGTGCAAGGCGTTCGTTGCCGTTTCCGAAGTTGAGGTACAGACGGTTGCTGCTGTTGCTGTTGCTGTTATCCATAATGTCGACGGGCTCAGGGGCGATGAGCGGCCAGAGCTAGAATCGGTCGGGTAGGAATGCCTCTCGGCAAAGGGGGGGAAGAGAGAGGCGAGGTGCAGGACAGTCGAACACCTAGGCCGTAAGGACAAAGACCTTTGGTGATGTTCGTCGATGTTATTCTCCAGAGGATGGATGGATGGCTGTGGTGGATCAAGGTGGAGGCTAAACAATTGAAGTCTGTCAGCAAGTGAAGTCGGAACCAAGGGCCTTGCAGGTGTTCATACCCAACGAGCTACGGTAGCCGAAGAGCGCGGTTGAGGGGCGAATCGAAGACGGACCCGCAGACGACCAGTGCAACAGTCGGATCGGTGAGAGTGCTTGGACGTTGGACTGTTGTTGACTGTGCTGCTCGCTCAGCCACAAGTGAGGCGCAAACAAAGGGTGCGTTCGAGTCAGACGCAAGACGAAAGATGCTATCTCGGATGCCCTGTCGACGTTCGTCTATGCCTGTACGTCTGGGATGGTGCTGCAACTCGTGTGAATTGCTGGGCAGGCGGCAGCTGCACGAGGCGCAGATGCGAAGCGATACGCAGGTGGATGGACTCCCAGATAGACCGGAGAGGAGCGATGGAGGGCGGGAACAGAAGCGGAAGCGGAAGAAAGGCAAGGTGATTTTTCTGCTAAGCCCCTGTGAAGCGAAACATGATGGGTACAGAGGTCCAAGGTGTGGTGTGGTGCGGTGCGGTGCGGTGCAGATGGTGTAGCGTTGCACTTTCGACCCCTGAGATGGATCTTGGTGGTGGAACTCTGGATGCGAATGGCCGTGCGGGGTTCCTCGAGGTTGCAAGGGGGGGAGGGGGATGTTTACCATGGCGCTGTCCAATGGAAGCTGTGTAGTTGGAACAGTCTGGTTGGTGTCGTGGATTGGAGGGGTAAAAAGGAGGCAAGTTGTCCCGGTCCGCCATACTGCCTGTCCTGACGCCCCCTGGATGAAGCCTTGCCAATTGATGTAGGTACCTACATACAGCATGTGCACATGGCACCTGTCAATGGAGCATCGAGGTATGCGTCTTTCACCGACTGTTGGGACAGGGTTTGTCTCTAGCTACGAGGTCCGTAATGCTCCGGATGGTTCCCCATTCTTACGGGGTTGGTGCAGCGCGCCGAAGAACGATGGAATGCACTGCTCTCCCTGCCTTGATATCATCGATGCCTCCATGGGTACGTGATGCTGTCTTGGATGCTGGGCATCGGGAGGAGAAGCACCTGGCACCCTGTACTTCAGCAGGAGCTCGTGCTCCCTTTCAGGTGTACCTGGGTAATCCGGTCATCCAGCTTGCCAGCGAGGCCGGCAGTCTGCCTAGTGCTCAGCCGTTTCTGTACAATGCTTGACACGCTGGCAACTCCTCGGCAATTGCTTTTCAGATGACCAGGGCGTCTTTCGACAGGGTGAGGCTTTTCCAGATCTCTTGGCTGCAGCAGCTGCCCACAGTAATGGCCAGGTATGGGAGGAGATACCTCGGGAGCAAGACTATTTCGTGACACTTTTGTCCCAGATTTCCAGTATCTACAAAGGCCATTGGCAGCGGCACAGGGCGAAACACCATCTACAAAGCAATTCGCAGGCCGATTATCAACATGCCAGGGATCCAGAGCAGCATTGTCACATAAGGTACCTAAGGTAAGGTACCTAGGTCTATCATTGAACCTCTGTGAGTTGGAAGTGGCAGAATAAGCTAGTCCCAGAACAGCAAGCGGTCACAGACACCGTCAAACGCCGAGGCTTCGCCGCCATGCCCGTTCTGGCTGGAACGACCCGTGCCGTTATCGCGCCTCGGTGAAGCTCTTATCGCGTCAAAATTTCCTGTCGTTTTCCCCCCTGGTGACCATCCATCCAAACAGACGTGACCTGTGACGAGCGACTGTCCATCACGACCTTCGTTTTCTCAAGAAGGGATATCCCAAGGGCCTTCATTGTCAATACGATCGCAATGGCTGACGCAAAACCCCCCGTCGATCCTGCCCCGGCTTCGGTACGTCCTTCATCCAAACCCCATCTAACCATCGTTCCATCGCGAGATGCCTCATGCTCACGTGTCACCAAACATAGGCCGCAACCCCTAGCACCGCCCCAGCCGCCTCTACCTCGACAACAAATAACAAGGCGCCAGGCTACAAAGTCCCCGAGCGAAACCCCGCCCTCCGCATGCTCGGCATCCCCAACCTCCCCAAGAAGCTCCCCTCGCGCAACTGGACCATCTTCCTAACCATCACGACGGCCTTCTCCGCTGCCGTCATCTACGACAAGCGCGAGAAGAAGCGCGCCACAGCCCGCTGGGCCCGCGCCGTCGCCCCGCTCGCCACCGAACTCATCGACAACCCCTCCCAGCTGCCGCGCAAGCTGACCGTTCTTCTCGAGGCCCCGCCCGGCGAGGGCCTGCGCGTCGCACAGGACCACTTTATCGAATACGTCAAGCCCGTGCTGGCGGCGTCCGGCCTCGACTGGGACTTTGTCCAGGGACGCCAGCAGGGCGACGTGCGTGCCGCCGTCGCCGAGAAGATTCGCCGCAAGAGGCGGCTGGCCGAGCGGCCGGACGAGGAGCTGCTGCCCACGGAGGAGAACGTCCGCGACGCCGTGCGCGCGAAGAACCAGATCCCCGAGTATCAGGGCGACGCCGGCGACATTGTCATTGGCCGCAACACCTGGAAGGAGTACATCCGCGGCCTGCATGAGGGCTGGCTGGGGCCCCTCGACGCCCCGGTGCAGCCCGAGCCCGAGACGAAGCCAGAGCCTGTGCTGTCCGCCGAGCCCGTCGTCACGCCCGTCGCCGACGCCCTCGCCGAGACGGTGGAAGAGGCCGAGAAGAAGGCCGCCGACGCCAAGGCTGCCGAAGAAAAGGCTGCCGAGGAAAAGGCCGCCGAGGAGAAGAAGAAGGAGGAAGAGAAGAAGAAGCGCCCGCCCCAGCCACCGTCCTACAACTCGACTGCCGACTACGCTGCCGCCCATCTCCCGCCCACGCTGCCCGAACAGCTCGCGCCCGCGGCTCCCATTCAGTTCCCTCATATTCTCGGCTTCTTCAACACCTTTACACGCCTCAAGCGCTTCCTGAACCGCCGCGCCCTGGCTGATGATATCGGTCGCGAGGTGGCCGCCGCCTGTTTTGCTGCGCACCGCGAGTGGCGTGAGGGCGAGCCTGGCGCGTCTTCGGATGACGATGAGTTGATGCTTGAGCAGCAGCGCGTCCTGGCGCACGAGGAGAAGAACTGGGTCAAGAGCGTGTGGGAGGAGGAGAAGGCGCCAGAGGAGGGCAAGGAGGCGGAGCCGCCGCGGGAGAAGGTGTGGCCGAAGCCGATGGTGCTGGACACCCGCATCGCCTCGCGCATGAGGAGATTCGAGGTTCAGCCCGAGGATGAGGCGCGTGCGAGAGCGATCGTCGTGCCCGAAGAGGAGATTGAAGGCTTCATCAAGGGCAGCTTGCGATCCATCGCTCAGTGGGGCATATTGGCGTTCGCTGCAGAGAACAAGGGACCCAACGTTGGCAACCTTGATGATGCTTGAACGAAGAGGATTCGTGGTGGACTGGGTTGTGTGACTACCTAATGTATGATACGCTTGGTGTGCCCGAGATTCATGACTCGAGGGCGATTTGGATGTACAGTATAGGCTCCTCCTTGGTGTTTAGAGCTTGATAGACGCTAGAGTACCATCTGACGACCAGATGGAGATAATGAGTGTCCCCTTTTGTTCTGTCTCCCGACCTTCACTCATCATCGTCTGAATCATATGCCACCAGTCCCACTTTTGGCGGCGGTGGACTCGCACTTGTTGGCTTAGTAGTGGTGGTTGTGGTCCTTGGCTGGGCTGCTGCTGTGGCAGAATCGTCGGGTTTGCCTCCATCGCCAGTCTTGCTGTCGCCCTTGCCACCCTCGCTCACCCTTCTCCTAATCAGCCCCTTCACCTCAGAACCGCGTTCTCTCTTCCTTTTCCTCCCCACAGCCCATTCGTCGGTTCCATCCTCTTCTGGCTTAGACTCCTCCTCGGCAGGTGTCTTAACTTGCACCTTCTGTCTCTCACGGAAAGCTTTCAATCCTTCCGTCGTCTCCTCTCTGACCCTCTCCTCCTCCATCCTCTTCTTCTCCCTCACCTCGTCCAAAAAGTCAATCTCATCATCATCCAAAGCGCGGAACTGGTTCCTAATCTTGTTTGCCTCCTCAAACGCCGCTTCCTTGGCCGCTGCATCATTGTGAGCATCCATTCGGCAGGCAGTCTGAAGGAGTAGAGCGACAGAGGCTGCAACCGACCTTTATTCGCTTGTAGCACGTCGTACAAGCTCTTCTCGCCGCCCTCGACAGCTTTCGCCCTTGCCTCCTCCCTTCGCCGCCTCTCAGCATCAAGCTCTCGCTGCACAGCCTCCCATTCGGCGTTACCTTTGCTGCGCGTCTCCTGGGCTGTGCTCTTGTCGCTGGCGTCTGGGGCGACGACCTCGCCCGTCTCGGCGTCAATCTTGCCGCCGGAAACGAAGCGGGAGGACATAATGACGGGTACTATGAGTCCAGTTCGACTGAAGTTTCAGATAAACGAGAGCTTAGAGGCTAGATAGGAAAATGAGCGTAGACCGAGTCAATGGTTGGAGGCAAGATGGTCAGATCTGGAGCTGTTAAAGTCGAATGATGAGATGTCAGTCTGGGGCTTAGTCAGCACCGGTGCTCCTACACACGGAACTCCTTCACCCCCTGAGCTGGACATTTCGCATCCCTTACACCAAGGGAACGGCAGCAAAACCCAGTACATGTCGAAAAGTGTCCAATCGATTTCAATGTGCCGAGTTCGCTGCATCAATATGGCGAGGGAATAATTGATTAGAATCGGCAAGGGCACGGCCGGCCCATTACGGCCTGGCTCCAACATACATCGCGACCTCTGTCCAATCAAATAAAATGTGTGTACAATTCTGTCAATTGTTCAGGGAGAAGCCAGTTGTACTACAGGATAGACTACCCAGACTAAACATACCTCGCCCCAGAGGCAAATGAGAAGTTTTGTATAATGTGACATGGATGGGTTTTGGGACATGTCCTTCTGATCGAACTTGCTGGCCTAAAATGTAACAAGAAGCAAAAGAGACAGGAGAACACCTCCGAGTCTGCAAAGAGTATCGGCACCAGCCGTGTAGACAACATCTGGAGCATCAGGGGTTGTTTCGCCCTGTGACCCATGTTCCGCACCGCTTGGAGGCTTGGCCGCCGTCACATCGTGAGATCCATGCTCTGTAACCCTAGAAGGCCCAGTGGCTATCCAATCATCAGATCCGTGTTGGACACCTCTTGAAGGCGCGACGACGTGTGTCATTTCGGGCACATAGGGCCTGCCTCCGTTGGGGAAGGTCAGCGTCGCTGTGATGGGCTCTACGCCGCAGCTGGTGCAGGTCTCTACCGCCGTGGTAAAGCCAGCAAGGATAAAGGTCGGGTCCGTCATTGTCGGGATGGCTGACATGCCGGAATAAACATGCTCGACCACGTAAGGCCTGTCAACGATGCCGGTGGGACAGAAGGCAGCCAAGGTGGTCGTGAGGCGGGTCGTGTGAACGCATACTGCGCAGTCACATTGGAAGCAGTCGGGAACGAAGACGGTGACAGCAGTGTCTTGCATATGCGGAGACCGGGTGGGTGTTGCAATACTCGATGTGACAGTGATGCAAGTCGTGACGATGATGGTGGTATATGTGGAGGGTTGGGCAACGACGTGCAGCGACTGTAGGAGGGCCGTTAAGAGCGCAAGTGACTGCACCATGCTCTTCATTTTGAAGACTGAAGGCTGTTTCTGGTGCGAACTTGGGTGTTGAAAAACGCATAAACGAGACTATTTGCGGTACGCACAACGCGAAATGTCACATACCCGGGTTTTGGCAGGTGGCAGGTGACGGATGTACTTAACCAGTGATGATCGCTCCCGATCATGTCATGTTTACTGTGGCGTCAATCCGGCATCTCGTTCGATGCTTCCAGCCTGCGATGAGTAGAATGGAGGCATAAGGGTCCAAAGTTCAATGCCAGAGGCAACAATGCTGTGTTTTGCCATCCTCTCACATACCACGCTTGATCAGCCTGCTCTGTCGACATCCCTGTGGCGAAGGCTTCAACAGTCACAAGTCTGGAATCCAAGAAATGGCCGAGACACAAAGCAATTGCGTATTCTACTGTACCCGAGTACCCGGAATCGTAAGTGCTCTCCCAATCCTTAAAGACTATATCCCATCACCACACCTACTGCGCAGTGCAGTTAGAGTGTTTCATGAGCCGTGGCGCTGTCTGTGCCAGGAAATGGGACGAGCTGCTATTTGACCGAGGCCGAAAGCTTTGGGAACGGCTGCTGAATGCTATTGAAGAAAAATTGCTGGCTCGTAAAGTGAGACATAGAGCCGCTTGTTATTCAAGAGACCGCGGGTCGGATGAGACAAGAGTTTGATCGGAATTCGTTCTAGTGCGCATACACCAGCCACGATTCGAACATGAACCAAAATCCAGCGGCATTTCAATGTCAGCACCTTCCAAGTTTCTGTAGATGCAACAACGCAAAGCACCAATGGCGGAGAAGAGACCATCGTTCGACTTGGGGTCCCCGAGGGGCCTCGATCCCCTGAATATGGAACGTGGTCATCCCTTTGTTTGAATTGGAATGAAACATCTTTCAGACGAAGATTATTCAGGATTCGGGGGTGATGATATCCAGCTGGATGGCAAATTCGACGACTGCAGGTTCTTGGATTTGGCAGTCAGCTTACAAAACGAATCAAAGGCCTGGAAACCCCCGATATTGGAGATGCTGAAATTTCGTCAACATAACCGTCTCTCCTCATCCACCACCAGATTCTGGCGGCAGTAGGTCGACTGGCTGATGAATATGACGCTTCCTTATCTTTTTCCATATCTTGCTTTAGCGAATTGGTGTCATGGACACGATCAGCTACGCAACGCAAACATACAAGCTCGTGCAGACCTGCCGGTTGAGTTTTGCTACACCTATACAACTACCTTTTTGGTGCCAGTAGACAATGCTACTCAGACGCCAGCTCCCATTCCGATCACATCACTGCCAGCATCGTTCGTCACGATAACGCAGCCATATACCGGAGTTGCCCCTATCACAGGGCCTACTGCTGTTACAACGATCGCTCCATCTGGGACAAACCCGGGCACGGTTATTATCCAGACGCCAACATCGATCCCTCCGTTCCTAGCACCGTCGTTTGTCACGACGACAGAGCCATACACTGGAACTGTACCGATCACGGGACCAACCGCTGTCACAACCATACCCCCTTCGGGCACAAATCCTGGCACTGTCATCATCCAAACGCCAGGCTCAACCGTCACAACGACGCAGCCTTATACCGGGACGGTACCTATAACTGGACCTACCACTGTGAGGACTATACCAGCATCAGGCACGAAGCCTGGCACCGTTGTCGTTCAGACGCCAACATCTGTTCCCGCGCCCTTCCGCCTACAGTCTACCGTAACAATCACACAGCCATATACTGGTAGCTTCCCCATCACAGGACCTACGACCATTATCACAATTCCTGCGTCTGGAACAGTACCTGGTACTGTTATCATTCAGACGCCGACATCAGTTCCCGTGCAACCTCAGCCACCCTCCACTGTGACGATCACTCAGCCATACACTGGCACCGTTCCTATCACGGGACCTACAACCGTGACGACTATTTCTCTGTCTGGGACAGTGCCTGGGACTGTCATCATCCAGACTCCGACATCAGTTCCCGTCCCGCCCCAGCCGCCGTCAACTGTAACAATCACACAGCCATATACTGGCACCGTTCCTATCACAGGACCTACCACTATTGCGACTATCCCTGCCTCAGGAACGGTGCCTGGTACTGTCATTATTCAGTCTCCCGCGTCTCAAGTCGTTCCCAGTGTGAGCAGCGCAGCACCCGAACCCAGCAGCTCGGCGCCAGTACCTAGCAGCGTAGCACCAGAGCCTAGCAGCATCTCAAGCGTCCCAAGTGCTGCCTCAAGTGTTGCCCCGAGTGTTGCCCCGAGTGTTGCCCCAAGTGCTGCCTCGAGTGTTGCCCCGAGTGTTGCCCCGAGTGTTGCCCCGAGTGTTGCCTCGAGTGCTATCCCAAGCCAAAGCGCGATACCGAGCGACGCCTGCGAGCCGGCACTTGTTCAAAATTGCCCGGGCTCAGGACTGGACGTTAGCCTATACGCAAACTCATGGAGCCCACTCCTCGGCTACGGCGTCCCTCCTGTGAGAAACCCGACAGGCGGCGTCGGACCCGACTACTATCGACCACTCACACCCCTGGACACCGGCGTGACAAATTAATTGTCGTTTCCGGCCCCTGTCCGTCCGCTTAACAACCAGGGAGTACGCCTGCCCGAGCAGCCCAGCATCAACTACTTCCCGACCGCCACGTCGACCTACGCCGGCATGACATTCAACCCGAACAACATCACCCTCGTGTACACGGGTTACTACGTCCCCGCCAGCAGCGGCACGTACGAATTCTGCTCCGCCAACGCCGATAACGTGGTCAATTTTTACTTTGGCCAGGCGGCGTTCCCTTGCGGCGACGCGTCTGTTACCTCGACACCAGCCGGCGTCGATCCCACCATTTATCAGGCCTTTGGCTTCACGCAGGCAACCGTCTGCGTGTCGAGAGATCTCGTAGCCGGCTCGCCGTACCCGATGCGCATTGTCTACGGCAACTACGGTTTGCCTGCGGGTTCGACCGTTACCGTTGCTCCTCCCGGGGAGGCGGGGTCTTCCACTTGGGCTGGGCAATTGTACGAGGGGACTTGCACCACCGTGACGCCGCCGACGAGATTCAAGCAATTGTAATGCCAGGCCGGGTTGTTGATAATGTAGTCTGCACCAAGGCAATGCAGATAGAACCAGTCAGACTTTGATGCAGGGAGCGTGAAACAACTTTTCTCACCCAAATAGTAATGATTTTCAACAGCTTCCCCAGAGATTGAAGGCTATCTCAAGTCGCGGCTCATATGTGTGAGACTGTAACGAATTGACTAAGGGCGACAAGGGCCGGACACATCTAACCTAATACAGCTCTGTCGTAAATGATGTTAGATGCTTTACCAGCCCCCCTTGATTCCTTTGGAGGCATAGGACCTAGCGAAACTGATATTATAATTACTACCACTAGTTTCGACGTGAAAACGTTAGAAGCTATAAGTCAGTTGTTGAAGGAAATGTCGTTCCCCAGCGTCTTCACACGAGTAAGCAATGCGATTGTGTTCGTACAAAGAGTAATCCTGAATCAGGTATGCCTCATTGCCATGATTTGTCTGACCACAGTCGCAGTGACAGAGAGCTCTCCCGCGACAGGAAAGCCTTTGATAATGAAGAACGGGCCGAAGTCGTCGGTTCTAAACATTGCTCTGTTGATCTTCGGGTGGAAATGATTACAGCAGGAGTTTATCATTCATAACCTTGATTCCATATAGTCGGTAACACGGCGTACTTGTTGTAGAACCAGAATCTGAAGGAAGGTAATTGATAACGCATTGACTCCAATCCTAATGCTTACTTCAAGTTCACTGCACCTATCACCTGCCCCTAAGATCTGGGGGGTTCGCCAAGGCAGCCTGCTGCATAATATTGGTCACATCGCAGCTCGCTTACGGGCAACTGTGAGGGGCAGATAATAACAAGGCTCTGGCATTCCCCTTGTCTTATGTAGATAGATAAGGCAGTCCGCATATTTCTCATCTTGGATCTCTTGCTCGCCTCGTCTTTGCGGTTCCGGTCATCATCTCAACCCTCACTAAACTGTACTTGGTCATCGTTTTGACTTGGTAGATCTCTCCATGGATCACCTACCAGTGCCGAGCGACCGTTGCCTTGTGGACCACATCAGAATACCATACTTGGCAACCGACAAATATGATGCTCCTTTCAGCAGCTATCCGCACAGAAGCGGGTGGAATCTCAAACTAGGGAGTGAGTTGGCGAGAGAGATAGCCTTTGCTCCCGAATCTCAAGCAGCCAGATACATCGGATCCCTCGCCCAAACCTGGCTCTACTTCGGCCTACTAGCCCAGTTCCTGGGTGAGCCCGTCAATCAAGAGACATTTCGGCTTATGGATAATGTCGAAGATGGACCTGCTCGTCTATGCACACAACCGTTGGAGCAACTGGTGTGTGCTCGAACGCAGACACTCCTAGACCATTTCAATGTCAACGGTAGTCGTGAGATCGAGTCTTTTCGTGACGAATTTCAAGACGTTCTGATAATGGTCCGACATCAGACCTTGTTACTTCTTCCAAAAGAGGCCGACCAGGACAGTGCAGTCGCCATGACATGTTTGGCCATAGCTGCGTTGGCCGACTACCTTTCCACCGCGCTTCTCGGTCTCTGTCAACGAACAGGATTGGACTCTCCCGTCACGCAGGTCTGGAGGTTGTTGAACACTGGGTTCCAGTTCGATTGCGGCCTACCGCTATTGCAGCTGATGTCGGAACAAGGGTGGTGTCCGTCCATCCTAACAGACGTTTCCTACGATCCACAAGTGGACACAGTCTCGGTCCTGTGGTATATCGGAAACTTGCTTCCACCAAACAATGACATACCGCACGCGGTATGCACTCCAATAGCGTGCGCTCTACATCACGTTGACGAGACACAATACGCCCAGGTTCACGCCTTCGAGGATTGCCGCTGTGATGCTGTGGGCCCAGGACTTTCGGAACTGGAAACAATCATACGTAACGGGAAGATTCCTGTTATGAAGCTCGAAGGCAATATGCTGAGTGTTCGAGAGGCTGAGACTGGATCTGCCTTTGTAGCGATATCACACGTCTGGGCTGACGGCATGGGAAACCCTGCAGCCAACACTCTTCCTCTTTGCCGCATACTCGAGATCCAAAGGCTCGTCAACGAACTGCCGAAAAGGAATAGAGACAATCAAGACAACACGCCGTTCTGGATTGACACCTTATGTGTGCCGCGCGGGCCTAGAGATCTACGAAGAATTGCCCTGGGCCAGCTGCGGAAGCCCTACGAGCAAGCGGCTGACGTCCTCGTCCTTGACTCGTACTTGAGACGGCAAATCTCAGAAGGACGTACTACGTCTGAGCTGCTTGCAGTGATTGCTTTATGCCCGTGGTCCCATCGGCTTTGGACTTTCCAAGAGGGCCGTATCCCTCGCCAGCCGGCCTACGTTTGGTTTTCTTTCCAAGACGCAGTCATAGATCTATCCTCCAGGTTAAGAACACCCGAGCCCAATTTTCCTACGCGGGCTGCCCGAACTGTATCCCTTAGGCTTTTGTTGGGCCACCAGCAGACACGAGCCAGTGCTGGTTTGCTACCTGACGAGCACCTCCACCACCCGTCTGTCCTCCGACAAGTGCTAGCTGGACGAAGAACATCCAGATCCGAAGATGAGGCGCTGTGCATTAGCTCGCTTCTCAATCTTGCTCCAGATGTGGCCGACAAGATCATCTGTTCAGCTGGGGAGGCGCGCATGGCCGCAATATGGGACCACCTGCCCACCATACCTGTTGGGATCGCCTTCTCCAAGTCGACGAAGAAACTGAACATTTCCGGGTTTCGATGGGCGCCGTCGACATTCATGGGCGACTCGGACACAAGTCTTAAGCATTGGGAGGGGCCCAACGGCACCTGGGCAGCGCCACCCGCGCAAGCAACGCCAACGGGTCTCGCGATACACAGGCCGGCAATGCTTCTCGGTACGTGCGACGATCGTTCCCGACGAAAGCTCAGCAAACTGTGTCATCTACAGTCTTTTCCAAACGGGAAGGTCTTCGTGTTGCGCGACCAGTTCGGGGTTTGGTATGACTGTGTACTGGAGGGGTTGTGGCACGCCAGACCGCACGAGATTCACCCAAACGAAAGGTTCATGATCATCATGGAAGAAGACCTGCAAACCAACATGAGATCACAGCCGGACGAAACGAGCGCGTTCAGTCCGCGCGGAACGGGGCAGGGCTTGCTGGCATCGTATCATGAGGGTTCCATACCAGGGGCGGGAGGGAGCCCCATTCGAGTCAAGGTTCATCGCCACGTTGCTTGCACCATGGTGTCCGAGAAAAAGAACGAAGTAAGAACGTTACTAATGGCTTTTGCAGACGATTTCTGCTCAGGAGCCTTATCGGAAGGAGACCACGAGCTGAGTTCTGATCTGGTCATGAGACGTCAGATAGGAGACGCTGTGGTAGATTTCCTAGGAGATCATCCGAGTGTTCTCGATCTCATGAAAGGCATCAATGTGCACGGGCAGTGGGGGGAGGATGACGACCTCGCCATACGCGACTGCATTGGCCTTGTGGAAGCCTTTGTCGAATACGGTGATTTCCTCGCGGTAAATACGACTCAGACAGACAGGATCTGGTGCCTTGGTTGATGTGACTAGACAAGCCTTTTGTTAGATGACGTATACGAACCATCGTGAGCGTCCGAAACCAATAAGTACCATGGCGTTACCTCAAGGCCGTTAGATAAGGATGGCTAATAAGGTACCGTAGAAGACAAAGGATAAATGTAATTCAATGTTTCATGTTTTGTTTTTGTCTCCTAATCTTGCGCGGCATCGCAGCTGGGGACCTGGTTGGGCTAAGAACAAAAGAACACCCATCCCAAAGTTAACGCTGAACAACCGTAACCCTAATGTTGTCTCCCCCGGTTTATACTGAATGCCTGTCGCCCGCCGATGAGAGCCCTCTAAAACTCATAAGAAACAAGTGCCAAGCACGCCGAGCGGCTGGCAGGTGAAGAACGTAAGACAAATTTCCAACCCGTGTGAGAGTCCAACTCTCCGATTTCACCGATGCAATGCAGAAATAACCTCCTCCCGTATAAACCTGTTTTCGCGAACCCCTTGCAGACAGAAAAGCAACCGCGAACTTATGTACCGAGCAGAAGAAAAGGACTTTTTGTGTGACGAAAAAAGGGAAGAAAGGGGAAATAATTACATCTGAAATTGACTCATGGACACCAGAGCCAAATGAAAACAAGTCTATCAAGGACGCCAGTCCTGGGAATCGTGAATCGACTCTTGAACGCCGCAAGCTGAAGGTCGATCCGTATACCGAGAGAAAGTAAAGGTAAGGTGTCATTAAGGGCAGACCCAGAAACGGCATTCTGGAGTCAGGATCCGAGCCCGTGTCGTAAAATGTGAGCAGTCATTGTGGAAGACTGTCTGTCCGGTTTCGATGATTGTCGGAACATGCTGCGTCGGCATAGCTTTTTTTGTTGTTCCGTCGTAAGGGTATCTGAAGAAATGCAATCGTCCTTTTTTCCGTAAAACAAGAAATACCAAGTGCCCTGACCTGGGAGCACTGGATCATGCAAAGCTTTTGTTTGGCTGACGTCAACGACTCGGGATCTAGGCAAAGCCCGTAGAGTAATTCCATCAGGATGCATCATGGTGGTGCTTGGTGCTCTAGCTCATGACAGGCTGGCCAAAATAGCCGTGCTGCTTGATGGGAGCCACACAGTTCGGGCAGCTACACTCCGCGATGCCATGTTCCCACATGCCCTGTCCTTGGTTGAAGGCGTAGTGCTGAGGGTACGTGGCGTGGCGGTGGCCGTAGTAGGAGCCGTGCGCGACAGGCTGCTGCTGGTAGCGTGCATTCCATTGTCCGTTGGCGGCAGCAGAAGAGAACCATTCGTTGTAGCGCGCGTTGGCTGAGGAAGCCGAGTTCATGTACTCAGGAGTGCCGTAGCCGGAATCCGGGGGGGTGAGAGGCGCGGAGGGCCAGCCCATGGTGGACGAATTGACTGACCAGTCAACGGGGCCCATGCGATACGAGTGAGTTTGAGCCATGTCGCCACGCTTAATAGACTGGTAGCGCTCATACTCGGCGGCCTGTTGCTGAATCCAAGCGTTGTGCGAGTTGCGCCCGCCGTAACGTGTGAGGTCGGTATCAATGGCAGGCACCAGAGATGCGAGCCTATCCCGGTTGGCACGAGCGACGGCCTGCTCTTTCAAGACCTTCCAGTCGTCCCAGCTCTTGAGCCACGCGTTGTAATCCCGGCTGAAGTCAAGGTTGACATAGAGCCCGAAGCTTGACTCGACAAGCCACTTCTTCTCCATGGCGTTGAGTTCGGTGACCGCAATGCCACTAACCTCGGCCCAAGAGCGGTTCTGGAACGTGTTGTCGTCAAGGAACTTGCTCGCCAGAATGAGCGAGACGGTAGCCATGCGCCAGAGGTCAGCATCGGTGATGTGGTAGACGCTCTGCTCAGGCATGTTCATGCGCTTGGCGAGGTAGTTCATGCCCAAGAGGATGGTGCTCTTGGGCAGACGCGTCGACGACAGAATGCTGGCGATGAACTTGCGGAAGGAAGAAGAAGCAGCGGAGCCGGGAGTCACGACGCTGGTCGCCATTTCCGCGACAAACTCAGCCATGTGCTCGACCTCATAGTCGAGGACGGCACAAACTCCTCCCCCGGCCATGTTGGCGGTTGATCAAGAATTCGACGAGGATCTGGGGATCTCGTCGAGATGATTACGCTTTGATTAGAAACGCTGTAAGGATGACCGGCGGCAACGGGTGGCGATGATGAAAAGGCTGGCAGCTTGCTGGCAATTGCGCGGCAAAGGAAAGGGGATGACGTGACGTCTAGTAGTTCCGGCTCTCCATAAATGAGATGCTGATCCGAGTTCTACTTTGAATGCGGAATGAGGCTGGTTTGGAATGAACGTCGACGACCTCTATGAGAGAGGTGTATTAGGTATCGTTTCGAGAGCGAAGCCACACAAGTGGGCGAGAGTGTGTATCGGCTCGATCAATGAAGACGATGGGCAGGGCGCAGAAGGGAGTCGATCGGCAAAGGATGCTGCAGAGGCGGACGAATTAGTAAACGGAATTTCAGGGTTGAAGCATAATGGTGGTGTGAAAATCCAGCGGAAGAGAAAAAACGAGTCGTCTGTGCCTGGACCTGATGCACTATTTACGTCCTGGTGCGTCAAACAAGGACGGGCCGGAAAGTTTGCGTCCAAGGTTGCGTGTATGCTAAACAACTGGGTCTGGATTGTTCGGACGACCAGAGCCGAGGGATCCCGCCCTAAGTGACAGAGTCCTTTCGTAGTCCGCGTCACTGATCTCGAGGGGGACCCGTCTGCAGACTGTGAAGGTGCGGCGGCTCAAAGGAAGGTGTATCATGTCTTTAGTGTGAGAGCTGTTGATGACCACGGTATTCGATTCCTTGCGTCTTGGTCGAAAGTGTATAGAAATCCGGCCAGGGCAGACAGGCAAGCACCGACTAGGATAGAAGAATCATCATGGAGTGTTTACAAACCTCGTAGTGAAAGAGCACCGTGGGAGACTCGAGAAAGAGGAGGCTCGTTGATATCGTTAACGCTTTTGTTGCTTCGTTGTATGTTGTTGTTGGCCGGGATCGCGAAGTGCGAATGTGCGGCAAAGAATGATATCCTAGGAAGCGAGTCGACGACTACTCGAAGGCAAATCGGTTGGTCGAGGACAGGATACACGTCGTGATCGTCAACGTAAGGCTCGTGTTCGCAAAAGGTGAACCCAGAATGTGTTGATTGGGAGAGAGGAGAGTTGGGGGAGAGGAGGCGAAGAGAGGTTGAGGCGAGAGAGGAGAGAGTGTAGAAAAGAAAAGGGACGAGTCGGCAAGAGAGGATGACGGAGGGAAGAATAGCTAGTGTTCGTGGGCGGGTTGGGATCCAATGTGAAGGTCTAGGGTGGACACCACCAGATGGAGGAGCGGGTCTTCGGGGAGACAGAGAGGTCTACTGATTGAGGGTGCGGTAAAAAAGGGTTGGAGGTGTGTGTGGGCAGAAAATGAAAGGCCTGGCGTGGCGGATGGGATGGGATTGGCGGCAGCCCAGCGGAACGAGCCAGTGGAGGCCCAGGTAGGCGTGAGGCAAGTGCGAGAGCAAACCCAGTCCTGTTCCAGTGACAGTGGTGCAGGGTAATGAAGAACCCCGGCAAGTTCAGTGGACAGTGGACAGGTACGATGGGGCAGGCGCCAGGTGGTTCGGACTGTCCTCTATTGGTAAAGCACCTACCTTAGCTAAGGTACCTTACCGTAGTGGGCGGGCAAGGGTCGGAGGAGGAGTGACAAGTACACCACCGTGCACTGTGCCGTCATAAAATAAAGGCAGGCAGGCACAATGTACTGTCGGCACACAGGTAGACACAACCGGGCAGGGAGGAGGAGGAGGAGGAGGAGGAACGTGTGTCCCCAGGGTACATGGTACCGACCTTGAGAGCGCCTGGTCAAAACAGGAGGAGACCCTTTGGGGTGCTGGCCGAGTGACCCCTTCTCCT